GTGTGTACTTAATAAGTTACTTTTCCCAAATTAACCAAATGGAAGTAAAGATCTTACAACTCCCACAGGGTTGTTAAGATGAAGTACTGTTTATGTTATGATCTATTAATTTTTTTTCTCTTCCTCATTTTATTATTTTGAATAGTTGGCATACTTTTTCTACAAGCAGCTTTGATACTAAACATTACAGCAGATCCTTCTGTCACATCTGCCAGAGTAATTTGTTTAATTTCAGTGCAGTTTTATGAAACAAGGTCCTGGCTTCCAGACCCTTGTAGAATTGTCTGTCAGAAGTAATTCTAGCCACTCCAAATTTTTATGAAAGATCAATAGGAAAGGCGTTAAAAAGCCAGAAAAATATCAGATGTATATGTTCCCTTCTCTGTCCCTAAGGAAGACTTTTAGGACTCGAGGTTTGGTAATGCCCCCTATAAAGCTACAGTTTTGCTGCCGATGTTGTTGGGAGAAACATGAGACCACAAGGGACCAGTATTAATAGTTGTTACTGTTGATCAAGTCCTCAGCCAGTGTTAATCTGCCTTATTTTCTAGATGTCAGTGAACCTATACTGATTTATACCCCAATTCCAAATATGAGGCTGCCTGTGAATAGCATCTAATATGGCCTTGATTTTCTTGTTGCCAAGGTCACATCATCACTGTCAACTTCTCTGGCAGAATATTTAGAATTTATAAATACAGTCTAGGCTTATTCAGCTTTTTAATTGAATTAGATATTTACCAAAAGCCATAGAAGATATTTACAAGTCACATTCTATCTCTAAACACAATTATATAATGTCACTTCTTCTATGATTTCCTTGTCATTTTAAAACACATTTGCAGTAAGGGGCTGATGAAAAGCTCATTGATGTCAGTGAAGGCCAGTGAGTTCTAACTTCAGTCTTTAACACGTGTAATATAGCAGTAAGTGTACTACATCGGCCTCGCTGTTCACTGCTGATGTTTCTCTTCCTTTCTATTTATTTTTCTTGTCTTCTTTTTTAACTTTATTCTCTGAACTTGGTAGGATCTCCTCAGAGGTAACTGTCTTGAGATAGTCCAGCAATTTCCAAGTACTATTTGGCAGGGATATGCAGGATGCTTTCCCCTTCCCTTTTCTGTACCTGTCAAGCAGGAATTTTCAGGAGTTGTTTTGCCAGGCTGCATTTTGTATGGCAATGGGTTAATGCCAACTGCCCTTTCCCTGGAGCCTGCAGTGTAAGCACCATTACCCATTGCTACAAAACAGCTCCCAACATCACACTCTCATGGTTGTAGTGAAATCCTTCAACTTTTAAAAGATTTGTTTCTTATGAAGCTCTTATGCACTGACAGACTACAGCTTGAACTGATTCGTACTCCCTGGGAAAAAAAAAGGATCTGTAAATTATCACTTATTTGCTTTTTAAAGTATCCCTTGTTCTCTCAAATCACAGAGGGCTGATATTTCCATAGGACTTCAGACCTACTGAATTGCTCCTTGCAGTGGCCACAGATCACTTGTTAACTGGTTCCTCTGGCCAATTTGCATCTGTGAGGGTCTCTTAATCACCGGTGTATTTTGTACTGGGCTCAGGTAGAGCTCCTGTAGTGCTCAAGTACAGTCATGGTGGCTGAGGTACGGTATTAGTCTCTCTGAGGTGATGAAACTCATAACTTTGTTTAGGGCTCATGTTTAAAATGAAAATTCCAGAGCCTTTTCATTGAAGTATGTGTCCCTAATTTGCAGGCACTATTTGCCCAGACGAGTGCAGTCATGATCTTGGAGAATGGTTGGTGCTCACACCTCCAGCTGAGTTCATCTCTGCTCATTTCTTTACTCACTTTCAAAGCTTTCACATGCCTTTTTTCTCTGACTAATTTCAAAATGAGCTCATTTATTCACAGCACAGCACGAAAGAAACACATCAGTGGAGAGTAGTAAAACCTCCCTGATTTCTTTTCCTTGTTTCTTAACGTCAATGTAATAAGGCAGTGTCAGCTTTGGCAGGCAGGAGGAGGCAGCTGTGACCTGCTTGCTGTTCTCCTCATGCCCAGTAAAAGGCAGGCAAACTTTTGGGTAGGGAAGAGAACAGATCCCAGAATCCTCAGAATACAGAAAATTGGGAGATGTTGCTCTGATTTAACCATCTTAATGTAAAATATTCCAAACAAGGAGGAAAACAGTCACCTTATGATACTGCTCCTGAGAACCTGGCAGTGACACAGCTCCTATTCAGCACCCACCTGGTCTGACTTGAGCAAGTGAGCAGACTATTGGTCAGTCCTATTTTCTCAGGTAGAAACAATGTCCTCACTCAGCACAAGAAAAAGAACAAGAAAAGAACAAAAACAAGAATCAGGCACTTTCTGTGTCTTGGAAATATTTCTTTGTTTCTGTGCTCTTTTATTTTCCAAGCATTTGAACCTTGTCACCCTCTTTACCTTTCCTCATTTCCTTTGCATCCATCTGCTTTGCTTTCCATACCCACATCTTGTCTCCTTTGCAGCAGGCAAACCTACACAGACATTTTTATAAACTGGCACACAAAAAGCAGGATAAGTGCTATGGTGAAAGTGAGTGCATCTCTAACTTCAGGAAATTAAAAGTTTTATTGCCAAACCTCATTTGTCAGGGTACATAATAAACTGATGAGAACTTCTGTGTTCACAGAAATCTATCTGTCAAAGCTATCTGCTTGAAAATATTTTGTTGTTACAGGACTAAAAATATTACATATAAACATACTGTGTGTTGAAAACACAAACTGAACAATGATATTTTTTTACAAATTCTCCAGGAAACTTTGTAAGTAAGTAAGCAATAATGGTTTCTCACGAAGAATAAAATCTGTCACAATGTTTTCTACTTTAGGTGAGACTGTGCCTTCTCAGTAATAATGAATGATATTCTGTATCCCATAATAATGAGTTTTACCTGAGTGCAGCCACTTTCAGAAACAGAGCCATGTGACTGAGGCAAGACAGGAACTATAGCAAACTTCAAGGGAGGCAAGTACAAAGAACTAGGAACTTAACCTGAAAACCATTCTCAAACTACTTGCCATTTAAAATACAGTACATTGAGTACATAGAAATATAGAGATTGTCACAGTATCATACGACAGACCTAAACCAAAAATGTTTCAGAGTAGATTTTTAAAGGATTTATTAGGGTCTTCATCAGTATATCTGCAAAGATTGTTGCTTTTCATTGTGCTTAGATGTGAAAACTCTTGAAAGAACTGTTAGGTGATCCAGGTAATTTCCTCTGTGCTTAGGTACTAGCGTTTAAATAATACATTTGAAAAACCAAAACAAAACTAGTAATCCTAACCATGTCCTGAGCTAGGCTGAAATTAGTTCTGCTTTTCTTTTCAATTTCTTTTTGATAGAAGGAGAAGTTGCTGCATTTTGGCAAATTTATTATCTATTTATTTATAAGCAGTGGATAACAGTTGGTAACTGTGAGAGCTTCTGCAGCAACTGAGCAGAGAGGTCAGTACATTTTTAGGGTATGTTGTTTCACATCAGGTAATATAAATTGTAACCAGTTAGAGTTTACATTAATAAATCTCAATTGAGAATTCATGATACCTTTTAACTCTTGCTATGACATCTGGAGAGTGTAAGATCTTCAGCTCTAAGGTTGAAGGTAGCTAGTGTGGTTCCATATAGCAGTATCACTTAAATGACTAAATCCATCTGTGGCTTTATTTCAGAACATATCATGAGTCAGTCACAAGACCTGTAAGTTCATTAGTTTACATGGCTGTAGTAGGTGCTGTCCTGTAGTGCTGTTTTCTAGGTTTTATCTATAACATGGAAATGATAACGATTTGATCCCCTCTTTCCTTATGTTTTTCTAAAGCTTTGCCTTTTTTCTTACTTTGAATTCTTACAGCTGTTAATATAGAGATCTTCCCTCCTCAGCTGGGGTTAAAGTTATGCAAATTATTATAGTTCATAACTATCTTTTTCATATTTTATCATGGCTTATGAATTATACTGAAAAAGGAACTGTTTTAGGTGAAGAAGGCAAAATTCAATAGTTTAAGAGGAAAATTCTTCACTGAGGTAAATTTAGCCATTGGCTGTAACAGATTTGGCTTTGCGTATTTGACTCTTTCCCCATTTTCTTTTAAATAAACTCAGCCTTTCAGTACTTGAATCTCAATCAGCAAATCCCTCTGATTTTGTTCAAATAGACTCAGATGTTCAGAGTATCAGAAGAAGGTTATGTTTTACTTTTTTTAAACTGAACAGACAGTGACTTTGAAGGCATTTTCCTTGTCTTATAAGTTGCTCATATAAGGCTTACAGGGAAAGGCAACCATACACTGAACAATGCTGTTTTACTACACATGACAAAGGTAGTGCTTAAAGCAATATCCTGAAGAAGTATCAAGGCTTTAACACTACTGCATGGAAGATATGGAAGAGCTTCCAGAAACATCAGTTGTGTGAACCATCTGGTTCTTAAAATATAACCTTTCTGTTCAGGTGGAATTAAGTAATGGACATTAGGAAAGGTGAGGTTGTGACATGATTTCTGTGCTCCCCTTTTCCTTCTGTCTTTAAGCAAAGAACAAATTCTGTACTGGTCTGCCAACTTTTTGCTGTGCATTTCTCATTCCACTTGATCTGCTGCAAGAGGACATCTGTAGGTAAAAAATAAGTAAACCATAAACACTAGTTGTACTCTGTTACACATTTAATCTAAATGGTTGCTTGTTTTTCCATAAGACCTGATGATAGCTTTGTTGCTTCAAAAAGAAAGACTGTGACTCAGGTTTGCTAACACGATGAAGACCACTCAAAAAGTCTTGGTCTGAGGGTAGGTCTGAAAAAAACTGGATATTTACCTGCATTTTTGCCAAAAGCTGTAGTTTGAAGATCTTCAACGAAACCGAAGTTCAGTGATGTTCCAGCAATGATGGTTTGGTCAGTTTCTTCCTAATTCTTTGCAGGTGAAAAGAATGTTGTCTTATTGAGCCCTCCCCCAGTTTGCTATTTCAGTAATTATGCCATTCCCTACTGTGATAGTAGGCTGCAATTTTAAGGAGCTCAGAATTTTGCTACTGGCTCTCAGTGGTGGACTTTGCCAGAAAACTCTGTTGTAAGTGAAAAATCCAATTCTGAGAAGGATTATAAATGTTGTTTTTCTCCTGTTCAGAATTAATCCTGAATTCAGCTGGAGAGATATAGAGTTTTGAAAGATAAATATTTCATTTTGGATCTCTTGGAACTGAATAATTTGTTTTTTGCTTCTTAATATATTGTTTATAAGTACAGAGAAAGGGAGAAAAATAGAGCAAAAACACTGTGATTAATTTGAGTCTGTTTAGATTCATTCTCTTTTCTCTCCATCTAAACAAACATTTTTGGTTAAATCAGTTTTTTACCCAAAATGTTTCTTTGATTTTTTGATCGTGTTTTGTTTTCCCCTAGGATATAGTTAAAAAGTTCCAAATCACTTTTTTTGTTATTATGCTGTGGACTTTGATTTGAAATATGTGGGGTTAGATCTTCATTTCTCATAAACTCAAACTTAAATCATGTACCTGAGCTTGGTTAAATTCACCCTTTAACCTGATGTACACTCACAAATGATGAGATCATATTTTCTTGATGCATTCATTGTTCAGAATAACATAGAGAACATGAACATGTTGTACTCTGAATTACTACCCATGTTATAATGTTACCATTACTGTCATCCAGCTACTATTTCTGTATTAAGTGGCTTCTCTTCTCAAATTCTGCATTCATCTGTGTTAGAAAAATATCTGTGGGCAGGAAATTTACCAGAATCATTCACAACAAAATGTGTATGAATATCCAGGCATACTAGGTCAGGTTGTTAACAGTCAAATTAGGATATATCACAAATAAAAATGAGAGGAGATTTCATTTTATGGCAGACTGATCCCTTTCTAGTTAACTTTAAAGAAGGAATTTTCAAAATTTTTGCAAAATCTTTCCTTAAGCCATCTCTCTTTCTCTTCTTTGTATTATGCAAACTAATTTGCTTTGCAAGATATTTTTTTTCTTGTCATCTCTTTTTTTCTACATCTGAATAAGATTACTCACTAAAACTTCAGCCTCTTGCTTTCCTCTACCCTCGTGAGGCAGAGAAAACAGTATCACACAATCAGTTCCTAAGGAGAACATATTAATGATTACGATGACTTCACAGCAATGGGCAAGGGGAATAGATTTAAATGTAACTTCACCATTTGTGAAGACAAAAATGCAGATAGACCTGCATCTATCAAGACTATCATCCTGAAGCATTCAGTTGAATGTTATATGGCAAAAGAAAACTATTTTCAATGTCCATCTGAGGCATTTGGTTTGGTTGTAATTTACCTGCGTGGTTTTCCAGGTAGGAGCAGGGCCCTGCAGGCTGCTGTGGAAATATTTGCTTTTCGAGAGAGCATCTGCTCACATTAAAATCTTGTCTTTACTACTACATGCAACAATGAATGACTGAATATTGTTGACTAATCACAATTCTAGTGATGCACTATCTTACTTAACCAGCAATCATTATATTAAAATGTACCTCAGAACAATTCCTTTCGTACTCTACCTTTGCCCTCCTTAAGCTCAGCTGTCAATGTTATTAGGAAAGGCACTGTGTTCCAAATTACCAAACGTAAGAATGAAGTGCTTTGTCCTTTGGAGCAGTAATGTACCTTATCTGTGACACTTGCTTCCCCATAGATTTAGATTGTCTGGACTAGAAAATTAAATGTGTGGGTCGGGAACTGCTGTTTGTTGTCCCCTGGTGCAATACAAATAGAGATAGCAGAAGTAGCTTTTCTAAACCTAATGATTTCTTCTCTCAGGCACCTGAAAAATAAAAACCAAAACAACAGAGAATAACCATGTCCCTCTATTTCCAAACCTATCTGAATCTGACTAATTTATTTAAAAAAAAATAAAATTAGTTTTTAATAGGAAGCTAATTAATTATTTTTCTGATCCCTGAACTTGTTCTATGTGTTGACTTGGGCACCAGTTTAATTAATGAAGGTTTCAATGCCAGCTAACCCCAGCTGTTCATGCCAGAAGCTACCTGTGCCCTCCAGTTTATTAGGGGTCCTAGTTACTCATTTAAACTGGTGGGTGGTGTGACTGAAGAATCACGGGTCTGCTGATCTGTGGAGCAATCACAGAACTATTAATGGTTAACCCTGGGAATTCAGGGCTGATAGGGGAAGGGTGAGCACAGTCTATGCCTTGGAGAAAGAGTGGCTAAGGAATTGTAAATCTTTTTGAGTAATTTTAATCACTGCATGAATTAAGGAATAAATAATAATTGAAGCAATGCATAAGAATACAAACATAAGAACAGAAGACACTATGCAGGTGAATAACAGCTACCTGGATTTGTGAAGAATAAGTCATGTCAGGCAGCCTAATTGATTTTCTGGGCCATTTGTTTTGATAAAACAAAGTTGCCATCCCAGCAGTGATCTGTTACATTGGGCACCAGCTCTTCTGTGAGAGGGAGTATGATGGAGGTGAGGTTATAAAAGTGCAGATGTGTCTGAGGCATAGGAGAGTGGAATTCCGGCTGATGTATGAGCAGTTTGGGGTCAGAATGAGAAGAATGAGAGGTATACCCTTAAGGAATAGAAAAAAAATAGGAAATGCTCAGAGGACCCCTGCAACAGGAGCGGGGAGACTGTGAAATGGGAAGCCTGGAGCTTTGCCTTGAGTTGGAGGCCTTCTATGGTAGTGGAAACAGAGTTTCAGAAGCATGAGAGTTGCTGGGATTCAAAACACTGTGGTCTCTAGTGCTGTAACAGGACTCTAATATGGGACTAAAATATTTGCTGCTTCCTTAGCCATACTTTCTTTCTGCTTTGCTTAGCCTTAGCAAAGCTAAGACAGAGCTCATAGCAGCTTCGAGTATTCTTACTATATAAGCTTTCTAGGGCAGCCAGGGGAGACAATGCCCTTTTTTACCTTTTCATGACTTAGCTCTTATATGTTTTAAAGATAATGAAAAATTCTTGAATTATTTTCCCACTGGAAGATGTTTTCCTCAAACAGAAGCAAATAACCATTTGTTTTAGAAATAATTTCCTGCCTCATGAAATACTGCTTTTTTAATGCTAGAAGTTATAGAAAACATTAAGAAAAATTCATATAGTCTCTTGGCTAGGAATTATCATTTCACAGTCAGTCCCTCAGAGGTGTTATCACAGAGATAAACCCAAAGTTGATGTCTATGCAGAAGTTAGCACGAAAGCACAGGACTTCATGAGGGGCTGCCCATTGAGAGGTAGAAGTCACTACAAGGGGACGTAAATGCTACAGCAATCAAGAGGAAGAAGTTTGTCTTTGATCTTTCCCTTAACAGTCTTCTAAACCCTTTGGGAGTATTTGTCACAGTAGAGCTGAGGTCATAGTGTGCAAAGTAGAGCTGAGAGAATTACATTGGACAGGCTGTGTCTGCAATAGCTGACATAGTTTCAAGTGCTACAGATTTTCTGAAAAACCTCATGTAGTCAGTCCTTATTAACTGCTGCCAGCCCAGCTTTTTCTAAACATTGTACCCTAAATACTTCCCATAGGAATATAATCTTGTTTTTAATGATTCCCATGATCAACCATTCCAAGGAGATGGGCTTTACATAATGTTCTGGTTTCTTCCACTCCATGCCTGTGTTCACCACTTTCACTCATTCTGTTCCTTTTCATCTACTAGGGAACAGCTATAAGGTATTATTGCTCCAAAGATAAGGGTTTTTTTTGGTTGGTTGGTTGTTTTTTTTAACAGAAAAGCAAGCTAATAAACTCCTGACAGAAAATTATTTCCCAAAGAATGCAGAGCTAATGCCATATAATATAATTATACTGAAAAATCTGTGGTGAATTAGAGTTCTGTTGGGTTCTCAGTTTGTCTGCATGTGTTTTATTGTTCTGTCAGGTGATATTCCATGGGATATGAAATAAATGTCGTATTTCTTAAAGCTTTATGAGATGTGGTAGGAATTTTCTGAAATTACAGACACATACTGGAAAAATATTCCCTTTTTATCATGTCTGTGATGTTCCTATAGTCCTATGATGGACCTACAAGTCCTCTGCTTTGTCAGAGGAATGCTGCCACATGAAGATGCTTTAAACAGCTGAAAGTCTCCTTTCTGAGGATCCTTTTACAAACCTTCAGGCAGTGAATCTGATGGGCATAGTGCAAATAGTCATCCATCTGCTGTCAAATGTAGTCTAAGAAGAGTTTGCTACCCCAAAAAATTGTTTTAATCTAGATAGTCCAGGTAGTTCATCTAGATTATCATCATGGTCCCCGTAATGCACAATGATCCCTTCTGTAATTGTTTAAAATCTATGTCAGAATACTCAAAACAAATCTTAAATATGTAACAGAAAAGTAGAGAAGAGGAAGAATCCAATGGGGTAGAAAAATCTGACCCATCTTTTTGTATTGGGTGCTAGTGTTTCTCTGTAACTGACCAATATGTTCCGTGCCTCAGTGCAAGTTTTGCAAGCTAAGTATCCTTAAAACAAGAATGCACCTTCATTCTTCTTTATCTGTATGTTACAGTTGTCTTACTCTTTTTGCTTGTTATTTCTTTTAAGAAGTATTTTCATCCCAAATACTGAGCCTGATGTCATAACACTAATCTCTCCTGGAATTCATTCACTTGTTTTTCATCTTTGTGTATCAGTACAGCCTGTCCCTTAGTCAAAGAACAAAGTACAAGATGCAAGTCACTAGGATTTAGGGTCTAGGCTTTTATAAAACTTAAAATAACAGCTTTTCATTCTAGTGTAAGGTATTTACTGACACAAGAACACAGTTTCTTTGCTACAGGAACTGAGAAAATTCTATTAAGTCAGAAAAACAGATTCTGAGCTTTTACCTTTGTTGTCTAAAACCTGGTTTCCTTTGAATTCCCCTCTTATAAAAGATTGCAGAACACTTGGTTGCTCTGTTGATATTAAAGGGGAAAGAGGGTAAGTAAGCCTCCCAAAGATTATTGTGCTCAAATGCCCTGTCCATGCACACAAACTGTTACGGTTTCTCTATAGCAATTTACCTAATCTTGGCATGAAACTGTTGTTGTCATAAAAGACCTC